TTCCCATCGAAAGTTAATAAGCAATTGGTGTAACTTCTGTTGAATACGTCGAATTCGTGAGAACCTACCACCGAGTTACAACTTTTTTTATTCTGTTTTATACTTGCTATATATTGCTTTGCGTTGTCAAGGAGGATAATGAGTCATTGTCTTTATACGACCACGATCGATTACCACAGATATGTCGTAATTAATTTACATTTTTAAAAAAAAATTCTTTAGGGATTGTTGCATTTTCTAAATGTTTTTTAGCGGTTTCTTTACGTTTAATATATTTGTATCATCTCCTAAACATACAAAAATTCAAAATACTAGTGCAAAAAAAAAAAAAAAAAAAAGACATTTTAATTTCAAAACTTACCAGAATATATACAAAGCCGTATTATACAAAAATATATACAAACATAAAACATCATAAAGATTGTTCCAATAACTTGGACCGATTTTAAATGTGAATTAATTTGAAAGCGACTAATGATTTTTTTCTTTTTCTTTCCGATTTGGCGGACATTTGGGCGATATTATTTTTCACACATAATTGCCATGATTTAAATAACATGATCCAATAGAGAAATAAATAAATTTTCACCATTAACACTGATTTATTTACTGCAGACTTTGATCCGTCTTAATGAAACACCCTTATATATAATCCGTCTTAATGAAATATCCTTTATTAGTCGAGAAATTTCATAAACGGAATTATGGGAAAGCGTATTGTACCGAGGCTCTCTGAGTTTGAGGTGCACAGGAGTATGCTGTCGGGAACTAGGGTGGAAATTCTCTTACACCAAACTAGTTGTGTTCAGGCAGCCATGGTCGTAAGATCGAATAATTGTAATTCAGTTAAGTTGACGACAACCTATACAAAATATTTCCTCTGGACGAGCCAAGAGAGCTTTTCGTGAAAAAAAAAATCTTTTATGGGCACATTGAAATTACTTAAAGTAAAAATGTGCATTTAATATTTCCTTGCGTCTTAAGAAATCTAAATGAGTGATAACCCATCAATTAGACGATAGGCACCATATTACTCTTCTTCAAAGAGCTCTGGTTTTGAAGTTGTTTGTACAACTTTGTCTTTTTCAATTCATCCGTTCTGTTTTTCATCACCTGTTATTACATATCTAAGGTATGGTTATTTTGGATGATATATTCGTTATTAGAATTGGCTCGCCGAAACAGAAATTAATTATGACTCATCTTAATATGAATCTTATATGACCGCCATCTTTAATATCGTGAACGATTTACAATGTATCTGAATTATTTCTGAAATGAGGTATTGTAACTATTTATACTATTTACATTGTTCGGACTGTGGGCCTCATCTTTATTATCATGTTCACAATGTCTCTGTCGTTGTACATTCCGGACTTCTTCAGGATCTGTCTATATTTCTTAGATGAGGTATTGTTACTATTTACAGTACTTAATTTGTTCAGAAAGTTGTTCTCATCTTTATTGATATATTCACAATGATTCGGCCGTTGTACGCTCCGGCCTTTTTCAGGATCTATTTCTGAAATGAGGTAGTGTAAATATTTGCACTATTTACATTATTCGGACAGTTGTTCTCATCTTTATTGATATATTCACAATGATTCGGCCGTTGTACGCTCCGGCCATCTTCAGGATCTGTCTATATTTCTGAAATGAGGTAGTGTAAATATATGCACTATTTATATTTTTCGGATATTTGTTCTCATCTTTATTGTCATATTCACGATGTTTTGGACGTGGCACTTTCCAGCCTTATTCAGGATCTGTCTATATACCTGAGATGATTTATTGTTATTACACTATTTACATTGTTCGGACTGTTGTCCTCATCTTTATTGTTGTACGCCCCGGCCTCTTCAGATGATATAGGTTGGAATTTTGAACCAAACCCTTTATTTTATCCACCGGGGAAGATCTTTCTAATTCCAGGTGCCATGCCTTATTTAGATATCTCAGTTTAAGATATTTCTCTTTACTAACTCATCTCTTCAAGTTTTTTTTCTTTAAGCTCACAAACATTTGGCGTAAGTCACTTTTTAGATCAATATTTTTCTCTACTGGGCTATGTGCCGTCCTTTTTTCGTTTACTATTAAAATTTGAGATTGAAACTAGGCTTCATCCTTTTTATCATTGAAAAAACTCGATGTAACCATCAAGCATATTGGAATTTTTTTTCTTCCAATTCCGAATTGTAAATAAACGAACAGTTGTAATAATAACAAAAAAAAGATGACATTAATCTGTCTGTAAGCACTTTAAGAATTATTTGAATATTTATTAATTCAAATCATTTATATGAACACTATTTTACTATAGAGTGGGAATAAAAATTCTTCCCTGCCCTCCATTAGAATGTCTGATGTTCAACTATTTGAGAGCAACTCTCTGCGTCTGCTCGGTCTCACGTTGACTGCTGACCTGAGATGGAACAAATACATTGAGTCGGTATCTAGACACCCCCCTCCATGAGGGTTGCATGTGGCACAAGGCCGAGTTCATCGTGGGTTTCCCGAGCCCGTAGGCTCAGCCAAAAAATGCCCGTATAACCCGTATAAACGAGATCGGGTTGGTTTTTTTCCCTGAACGAGATTCTGCCCTTCGGCGAATTGTCCGGGTTCCTTTCTGCTCAGAGGCAGAAAGTTCGACCGTCAAGTCGAGAAGCTCGGCTTGATTCGTCAAATACATTGAGTCAATTGTTTCGTCTACCGCAATGAATGTGGGCTCTCTGTGCCGCGACATGAAGTTTTTCTCCCTGGAATTGATACTTCAAATATACAAATCAACCATTCGTCCTTGCATGGAGTATTGCTGTCATATATGGTCTGGTGCACCTTCTGTTTACCTCGGAGTTCTTGACAAGATCCAGAGGCAGATATGTAATATAATTGGCCCTGTTCTGGCATCTCGTCTACAGTTGCTCTCTCACAGACACGCCGTCGCCTTTCTCTGTCTTTTTTACAAATACTTTCATGGTAATTGCTCCGATGAGCTGCTTTCACTGGTTCGCAGACTTCAGGAATTCAAGCGCCCGACAAGACTGGCATCCCGCTCTCACCCTTTCAATGTAGAAACATTTAAATCTAGCCGTCTCTTCTACTTCAATAGCTTCATATCCCGCACCTCTCGCCTGTGGAACACCCTTCCCTATTACTATTTCCCTGAGAGCTATAATCTCCAACTATTCAAATGTAATGTCAATCGACATCTCCAGTTACCTTGATCTACCCACTATCCTTCTCCTCATCCTTTCTTCTATCTCTCTTACCTGCTCTCGCTCCAAATCTTCTGCAACCCACTGCATCCTAGTGGCTTCCCGCCTTGGTCTGGGCGTAATGCTTGAAAAAATCACGTCATTTTTTGCAATATTTACATTGTTTGAACTGTTGCTCTCATCTTTATTGTCATATTCCCGTTTTGGCCATCGTACGCACAGACTTTATTCAGGTGGTATACATAGCAATTTTGAATCATACCCTTTATTTCGTCCACCTGGGTAGTTCGGTTTAGTTCCACGTGCAATCCCTTTTTCTTAATATCTCAATTTTATTTAATTCTATTTAGTATCTGAACTCTCCAATTTTGTTTCTCCTCTACTGTGACAAGTCATTGAACTGACAAATCTTTGGGTCAAGACACTGGATTACTTCAACCAACTCGTTTATCCACTGGGTAATATATTACCAAGGAGGAAATAAAGGGTTCGGTTCGAAATCCCAACGGATATCACCTGAAGAAAGCCGGAGCGTACAACAGTCGAAACATCGTGGGTCAAGCAATGAAGATGAGGACAACAGTCAGAACAATGGAAATAGTGTGAATAGTTAAAAATGTACGTGATTTATTAGTTCAGCGTTTGAAAATGTTTTATAGATTCTTGCAAGAGGATTTCTTGCTACATTTATTGTGCAAAACAGCCTTGGTTTAGGAGAGTATACATTTCTATCTAATTTTCGTCGCCATGCTTAGAACTAACGAACAGTCTTCGCAGCAAAACAAATACCCGAAACATATCAGATTCAGTCAAAATAAAAACAAAATCGAACTGTAATAATCAATCGTTACAGGAACTTTGAAGTGAAAAACGAGAGGCGGAAAGAAAATGGAAAGATCCAAATAATGACATTTTCCGGCCCCTTTATTTACTGCAAATAAAGAATCAAGTATTTTAATTTGTTTTTTTGATTTTTCTTTCCTCTTGTCTTTTTTTTTTCTAAAGAGGGGGGTTTGTTTTTTTTTCCAACAAAAAGCAAAGAAAATGTTTTCAAGATTATGTCTTTTATTCGCAATTCATTTTTTTTCCGTTTATGACGAATATGTTTGTATTCCTAACCCCAAAAATAAATAAATGAATGCAGAAATAAAGTGGATAGTATTCGCAAGAAAAATACAAATCTAAGTAGTACATTTGTCATAGAGAAGAAAAACTATATATATATATATATATATATACACACACACACACACACACACACACACACACACACATATATATATATATATATATATATATATATATATATATATATATATATATATATATTCATTTCTCGTGGTTTCATCTATCACAAAGCCTAATTTTCAATATTATTTACTTAAGGTTTTGTGCCGTTTAGAACTCTCTAAACGTGGAGAAGGAAAAAGGTGATTTAATACACTTACTGTCCAATGTTTGTATGATATTTTTGTATTTTCTTGCTTTCAAGTGTTCTTTATTGTCGGTTTTTCAATTATTTTGTTTTGCAGTCCGTTCTATTATTGAAACCAAAACAGCCGATAATTGTAGACGTTTTTTCTAGTTTTTTTTTTTAATTTTTTTGGGGAAGTAAAAAGAAAGAAACCAAAATTAGACAAAAATATTCGACCAGAAATCACAATTCGAATTCCGGAGAATAAAATAAGATGTAAAGTAAAAAAAAAGAAATCTTTTTTTACCTTTTTTTCTTTTTTTTTTTTTTTACAGCCTTAACTTGAGAAAAATATCCATCTAGCTAACCAGTGTATTCATATCTATCTATATCCATCTCTCTCTCTCTCTCTCTCTCTCTCTCTCTCTCTCTGTATATATATATATATATATATATATATATATATATATATATATATATATATAAACCTCACGTGTCTTTCAAAGTCTTTTATATTTACTTATCTTTCGATCAACCTTCTCATATCTATCTATCTATCTATCTATCTATCTATCTATCTATCTATCTATATATATATATATATATATATATATATATATATATATATATATATATACATACATATATATATATATATATATATAGATAGATAGATAGATAGATAGATAGATATCGAGATATATATGTGTGTATCCTTTGTAATTGTCATCAGGTTAGTTGGTCTATCTATCTATCTATCTAGCCTGTATGTATGTATGCATTTATCTACCTATCTATTTATACACACACACTCACACACACACGTAAATATCTATCTATCTATCTATCTATCTATCTATCTATCTATCTATCTATGTCGTGTCTATAAAGCCTGTGCGTATCCTTCAAAATATTTTATAGTTACCTTTCGATTAATCTGCTCATGTCTACCTATCTAAGGCCTTACCTATCTTTCTACCTTTGATTTCATCCTGCCTATTAATCACGATGGCGGTTTGTTTGCGAAAATAACATTCTCTTTCTGTATTTATTAACTACTATTCCCATCTGCCTTAACCTATTTTTTATATATCCTTTTAAATGAAAGATACATAAACACCCTTTTAACAGCGTATTTAATATGTTCCTGTAAAATCTTAATACATATTCTGTGATCTTTAAGATAATTTGAATGTGAAATACTTTTTCAATGCATTCCTCTTAAGCCATCACATCGATTTCAATAGATGTTTATCCAATTATCTATTTATTCTCATATTTTGCCTTGTATGAGATTATTTTATTTTTAACCTATATTAAGTACCGAACTATAAAAGAACGACTCCCGATTTTATTCAATGAATATTTCTAAATCTCTTACACTATCCTGCAATTCATTAAACATCGAAAAATAGAAGCGCTTCCGTTCAAAACTTGGATGGCGATATATATGCACATTATTTTAACATTTTGGCTCTATGCAATGTTTTGTCAATTACTATCCCTCATTCGTCCTGGGTTTGACGATAAACTACATCCGGCAACAAGGCCTATTAGGTAATAGGACGTTTTGATGGGCGTGAAACAAGTGCTGTTGTTCCCAGGTACACCCTGGCCCTGGGTGGTAGCACCTGTTAGGGTCCCAGCTATGGCCAAATAGTGATCCCCCCAAAAAAAACAATCAACAGCACATTTTTATAATAAAATGAGCAACAATATAATTTTATAACAAAACGACAAACAATGCAATACTAAAAAAAATAAAAATTAATTTTATGATAAAACCACCAACAATGCATTTTATAACCTGCAAACTATATACCTAAAAAAACATGCCTTCACCCTGAGAGTATAAAGTTAAGTAAAGAATATCTTTAGTTGAAAGCATGAAATTACGTACAAATACTTTTGGCCTTAAATACCCTGTTGAGGTTTAAATGCTACTAAACAAACTAAATCAGCCAACAATACCTGTTTATAATGAAATTACCAATAATACAATATGTATACTATTTACATTATTCGGACCATTGTCATCTTTGTCGCAATATTTTTTACAACGTTTCAGCCGTTGTACGCGCAGTCCTTCTTCAGGTGGTTGTAATGTCGAACTGAACCTTGAAATATGGCAACAAAGATGAGGACAATAGTCCGAATAATGGAAAAAAGTGAACATAATACTTCATTTCAGAAATATAGACAAATACAATAGGTATTGTTTGTGATTTGAATCGTCAAATTGCCTACAATACATATTTAAAGCAAAATGGCATTTTATCTGTAGTTGAAGACATTTAGTTTTCAGCATTAAATAACCCATAGAGGTGTTGATATGTCGCTAAACAAAATTAACAAACAATACCTTGTTGACCAGATCCATCTAAAACAGATAATCAGCTGTAAATAAAACTTCTTTTCTTTTTTTAGATTAATGTTTAAAACTGGCTTTGAGCGAATGAAGCCTATATATATATATATATTCTTGAATATTTTCCTTCTTGGAACATTGTGTGCGGGCGCTGTATCCTTTAAAAAAAATGTTCCAGACAAGAGAATGGATAAGAATAATCTTAAAAAGGAAATCTGTAAGTTCTAACAATTGCTCCAAGAAATAAGACTCAAAATAAACATTTCCAAAAGAGAATCACTGATCTGGAATTGGAATGAAAGCAGTGATGTATCCAGTGACGTATCACAACGAGGATTTATTAACTATTAAACACTTCATATACCTCGATGTATGGTTAGGTTATAACAAATTTAGTATTAGAAAAAAGGAAATTGAATATAGTATAGGCTGTATAATATAGCATAATATTTTTGTGGTGTACAAGGCCAAGAATAAGTAATCTAAGCAACATAGAGAGAGATTTCTATCTAAAAAGTGATAAACGCTTTGGCGATCATGTATCTTTCGAGGCAGATTTTAGCCGGCAGTAGGTTGTCATTTCTTTCAGTTACGATTCAACGCTATGGAAACCGGTCTATCCTGCTATTTACCTATAGCTGGGGGTGGAGAAGAGGAGGATTCAGGCCTTTTCCAACGGTATTAGCTTGTAAGTGAATGTAATAGATTTGACGAATTTGAACTCGGCTCTCCGATTCCTCAATCCGAGCCGCTAACCATTATTCCACCGTGCCTCCTATCTAAACAGAATTTGACAAAATATATTGTTCTCCGTAGAATCAGTCATGCCATATTGACAAACAAACACAAAGACTAAAAGAAATCGAAAACACGTGCAATACGGCCGCCACTGAAGAGAAAGCAAAAAGCACTAAAATTCACCCGAATTCTACCAAATTCCATTACGTGGAGAAAAGCAAGGCCCGCGGAAAGGATTTGCCATCTGGCCGACCTGTTGTCATCCGTTCTATTTATCTACCCTTCCCACCGATTCCACCCCGAAACGATATCTACTACCCACCAATAAAATAGTAAAAATAAACTCCAAGAAATTTTTTTGTCATTCCTTCTGTCTGTTAATGCAGTGATGGCTTCCTACTGATGAATTGCCAATGCATCATTAGAATCCAGAAACACACGCAACTTTCATCAACTCGAATAAACGCATTAGGCAAGTTGCTCAATGTTTCCATCTATCCTTCTTATTGTGAGACCGGAAACTACATACACAATAGACTCTTCCAGGGCTATATTAAGTAGGCGACACAACACTCTAGAGAGAGTGACAGTGAGAATCTAGTACGACTACCAGTGTTGGACACTAACTTATAGTAAGCTCCGCTTACATTATCTTTTTAACCTTTTGTTTAATATATCTTTCTTACATCTAATCCGTGTTCCGTGTTTTACTTCTGTGGTCCCAATTTTGGCCCCACACCACTTCTTTAACTGGGAGTATAAAATTTTCCAAGCCATCCGTCCTCATAATTATTTATCTAAGACGAAAGTCCCGCTCCCTGATCGTTTTATGTTTTGCGAGTAGAAGACGGGTGATCGCAAGTGGTTCACAATGATCTAAGCCGCCCCTCCCCCCAAAATATGCACAAATAAAACTTTCTGTACAAATTCCACAGTTTACTGTATCCATTAGATTTAAGGCATCCTGCGTAAGACGTTAAACTACATCTGTGTCCTGGGCAAGACTATAAACGACATCCAACAGCAAGACCTTTGATCAGAAGGTTTTGACGAGCTTGGGACCACCTCTTAATTGCTCGTGTTCCCAGGTCCACCCTGACTCAGGGTGGTAGCGCATGTTAGGGTCCCAGCTATGGGCAAATAGTTAACTATTACCAGCAATATCTTTGTTTTTTAATTATTACCAGCAATATAATTTTGAAGGAAAAATGTTACCAGAAACACATTTTTGGCACAACAAAATATTACTAGCAATAAAAAATGTTGTCAACATTAAATAACCCATTGAGGTTGATATGACGTAAGACAAAACAAACCAAACCAAAACATTAGTCGTACTAGACTCTCATTGTCACTCTCTCTAGAGTGCTATGTCGCCTACTTAATATAGCCCTGGAAGAGTCTATTGTGTAGGTAGTTTCCGGTCTCAGAATTAGATTAGAGATCCATGAATACACATTTCAGCATGTTAAAAAAATACACATCACAGCATGTTAAAAAAATATTATTGAAGTTTTATATATATATATATATATATATATATATATATATATATATATATATATATATATATATATATATATATATATATATATTTGTTTTTTGCAAGTTCCTTTTGATTGTTTTTTTTAAGGTAGATGATAAAAGTGATTATTATTGATAGGTGCATTTAAATGGAAATAAAAATGTTGCATGAGGACGCGCAATGTCTATCCTGGTTCACAGGGAACAAATAAAAAAAGAAGTCATCCAATAGAATTGCAATGATATTTTCACTGGTGCCACAACTGCATGAATCTAAACGTGCTACTAGATTGGCATCTTCGTCCCACCCTTTCCCTGTCGAAATACTTAAATGCAACCGCCTCTTCTACTCCAACAGCTTCTTCTCTCGCACTTCCCGCCTGTGGAACTCCCTTCCATTTATTTGCTTCCCTGACAACTATAATCGTCAAAAACTTAACGTCAAGGGAGATATTCTAATGCTTTGATCCCCGAACTTCTCTTTATCCTTTCCTCAAACACCCCTATCTACCCTTACTTTCACTCTCTGCAACCGCTTGCTTGCTAATGACACTTCCGCAATGCTTAGAGTGAAATGCTTAAATAAAAAATTAAAAAAATTAATTTATTAAAAAACACGACGTCTTGTTTGCATCTGTTTTTCGCACTTTATGGAAACAGCAAATTTCTTGAAGAAAACAGATACTGAGCAACGTCTACTTGCGTTGCGTGCAACCAATTATCTTCTTCATTGATAAGAAATTGTTTAGTATCCACTGCCACTATGGGAAGACTGAAGAACTATTTTTCTGTCTGTAAGGAATATTTTCTGTCTTAATACTTTGCTTAGATTTGTGAAGGAATAGTTTAGTATTGTACGAGGATAAGTAAAAAAAAAGGATTTGCGCTTTCGAAGTAAAATAACTTTAATTTTCTCACACGGCTTTCCGCACATTCGTGCTTATAGTTGGTAATATTGTGGTCGCGAGATCGAATCTGAGCTAGAACTTGCAAGTTTTCTTGCTACTGTTAAAGTGTAAATATGGCAGCATAGATAACAGTGTGTACCAAAGAAGAGAAAAAAAACAGTAATTAGAAGTAATGTCGGACGAAATTCTATTAAAATATGCAAGCAAACACACACACACATACATACATACATACACACACACACACACACATATATATATATATATATACACATACATTTTGCAATTGGAATAAAGATAACTTTAGTTAATGATATTTTCACCTACGAATTTAAAATTATCAGGATTTTTCAAACTGTTTATGGTATTAGTTTGTAGTGGGATACTCGTTAGTTGGGGGAAAGGGAGAGAGGGGGTTATA